ACTCTGAAAACTACAAGTCACTCTTAAGAGAAATTAAAGGGGACACTAATAAATGGAAACTCATCCCATGCTCATGGCTAGGAAGAATTAATATCGTCAAAATGGCCATCCTGCCGAAAGCAATATACAAATTTGATGCAATCCCTCTCAAATTACCAGCAACATTCTTCAATGAATTGGAACAAATAATTCAAAAATTCATATGGAAACACCAAAGACCCCGAATAGCCAAAGCAATCCTGAAAAAGAAGAATAAAGTAGGGGGGATCTCACTCCCCAACTTCAAGCTCTACTACAAAGCCATAGTAATCAAGACAATTTGGTACTGGCACAAGAACAGAGCCACAGACCAGTGGAACAGATTAGAGACCCCAGAAATTAACCCAAACATATATGGTCAATTAATATTTGATAAAGGAGCCATGGACATACAATGGCAAAATGACAGTCTCTTCAACAGATGGTGCTGGCAAAACTGGACAGCTACATGTAGGAGAATGAAACTGGACCATTGTCTAACCCCATATACAAAGGTAAACTCAAAATGGATCAAAGACCTGAATGTAAGTCACGAAACCATTAAACTCTTGGAAAAAAACATAGGCAAAAACCTCTTAGACATAAACATGAGTGATCTCTTCTTGAACATATCTCCCCGGGCAAGGAAAACAACAGCAAAAATGAGCAAGTGGGACTACATTAAGCTGAAAAGCTTCTGTACAGCGAAAGACACCATCAATAGAACAAAAAGGAACCCTACAGTATGGGAGAATATATTTGAAAATGACAGATCTGATAAAGGCTTGACGTCCAGAATATATAAAGAGCTCACACGCCTCAACAAACAAAAAACAAATAACCCAATTAAAAAATGGGCAGAGGAACTGAACAGACAGTTCTCCAAAAAAGAAATACAGATGGCCAAGAGACACATGAAAAGATGCTCCACATCGCTAATTATCAGAGAAATGCAAATTAAAACTACAATGAGGTATCACCTCACACCAGTAAGGATAGCTGCCATCCAAAAGACAAACAACAACAAATGTTGGCGAGGCTGTGGAGAAAGGGGAACCCTCCTACACTGCTGGTGGGAATGTAAATTAGTTCAACCATTGTGGAAAGCAGTATGGAGGTGCATCAAAATGCTCAAAACAGACCTACCATTTGACCCAGGAATTCCACTCCTAGGAATTTACCCTAAGAACGCAGCAATCAAGTTTGAGAAAGACAGATGCACTCCTATGTTTATCGCAGCACTATTTACAATAGCCAAGAATTGGAAGCAACCTAAATGTCCATCTGTAGATGAATGGATAAAGAAGATGTGGTACATATACACAATGGAATACTACTCAGCCATAAGAAGTGGAAAAATCCAACCATTTGCAGCAACATGGATGGAGCTGGAGAGTATTATGCTCAGTGAAATAAGCCAAGCGGAGAAAGAGAAATACCAAATGATTTCACTCATCTGAGGAGTATAGGAACAAAGGAAAAACTGAAGGAACAAAACAGCAGCAGAATTACAGAACCCAAAAATGGACTAACAGGTACCAAAGGGAAAGGAACTGGGGAGGATGGGTGGGCAGGGAGGGATAAGGGGGGGGAAGAAGAAGGGGGGTATTAAGATTAGCATGCATGGGGGGAGGGAGAAAGGGGAGGGTGGGCTGCACAACACAGAGAGGACAAGTAGTGACTCTACAACATTTTGCTAAGCTGATGGACAGTAACCGTAATGTGGTTGTTAGGGGGGACCTGATATAGGGGAGAGCATAGTAAACATAGTATTCTTCATGTAAGTGTAGATTAAAAATTTAAAAAAAAAAAAAAAAAAAAAAAGAAAGAAAAGGGGGATTACTCCTTAACAGGATAAAACTATTGGTAAATCAAAGATCAACGCATGCTTTAAATATCCTTAATGTTGATCACTTAAAGGGTGTCAGATGATCAGCTATGGAGGTACTCTTTTCTGATAATATTCCTTTCTCTTAATTAAAAAAAAAAAAAAAAAAAGTTACTGTGTGCTGACCTCCAATGAGTTCTGCACAGTGGTATAGAGGGCATGTCAAAGTGTGGGCAAAGGGTCTGTTTGTTTCTACGCAGAAGATCAAGGCCTAGCTTGGATACCCAGAAAATGAACTAAGATACGATATGAGGAGGAGCTTCCGGCATCAGCACTCTCTGGAGGACTCGTGCCGGGGGATGATCATCAAAAAGCCTCCACAGGGATCCGGACGATGCTGCGGTTGTGGCTGCATCCAGCCCACCATCTCCTGGACTTGCCATAAGAAGGAGGAGGGAGATGTCTAGGCTGGCATGTGCATACAGTGAGACAACGAATTTGACTGGATCTGTACTGTTGGAACTCAACCAGGAGTTGGGAGGGGTGCAAGTTGTAGCACCCCAAAATCTCATGACTATAGACTATCTATGGTTAAAAGAACATATGGGATGTGAACAGATCCCAGAAATGGGCTGCTTTAATTTGTCTGATGGTTCAAGTACAGTTGGAAAATATCCATCATATCATAGATAAATTTTCACAAATGCCTAGGGTGCCTAAATGGTTTTCTTGGCTTCACTGGAGATGGCTGGTAATTATAGATTTGCTTTGTTTATGTCACCGTATTCCTATTATGTTAATATGTGTGTGCAAATTAGTTAGTAGTTTAAAACCTATACATACTTAAGGTACTATACAAGAAGATATGTCAAAGAAATAATCAATCCTCCCAAGTTTCCTTCATATGCTACATCTATAGCTTTTCTTCTTCCTTCCTAATTACAAACCTTAAATAGAATTCGTGCCTCATATCGAATTTACCGAGTATCATAATTCCTCCAGGTGGTAAAGATACCTCGAGACAAGTGCTGGGCATAGAAGCCACAGGGCATAAATCTGCAAAGAAGTAAAAAGCTAACCTTTGCAAACAATATGGCTTCTCTCTCACTTACCAACTTTACATTTCCCTGTATGGCCCCGGAAGATGACTGGTTAGCCAGAGACGGGTAAGATTCCTCAAGGGAGGAACAACCTAAGACAGGCACAGTCGCAGGGGGGCCATCAGGTGAGAATTTGGGGATCAACAGAGGTGAGGCTCAGAACCTCACCCCCCCTGCTTTGAGAGAAATCTTCTGCATCCGTGGATGTCTTGCTGCCCTTGTCTAGCCTGGATTAATACTTAGTCCATAGGCACACACCTGATCATCTGATCATCTACATTTGCCTTCTTACAGCACTAAACTATGTTTTCTACCTTTATCTTGCATCTACCTACCACTTCAGCATTTTATTAAAAATAAAAATAATAATAATAATAGGAGAAATGTGGGATCAACATATAAATCAAGTACAAAAATCAAATGAATATTCATATTTGACCTGATGGTTTATAGGTCATATTGCATGATCAAAACCGAAAGTTTCTGTGATGAATGCCCTTGTACTGTTCACCATGTAAGAATTTATTCACTATGTAAGAATTCGTTCACCATGTAAGAACTTGTTCGTTATGCTTCAGAAGATTGGAGACTGACGAGAATTAGGCTTGAGATGGATTAATGATTGTACATTGAGCATTGACCCCCCTATACTGAATTTTATTGTTGTTAACAACCATTTGATCAATAAATATGAGAGATGCCCTCTCAAAAAAAAAAAAATTCAAATTAGCTTTTAGAGAAAACATACATGATTTGACTCCGAGGACAGAAAAGAAAACGCTGAATTACTTAGATATAATAGAATTCATTCTATTTATATTTAGAATAGCAAAAAAATGTACTCATCTTTCTAATGATTACAAATTCTCATTTGGTTTTATGTCTCATAAGCCTGAATGAGTTTTCATTTTCTTTAACATTTCATTCAGTACAGAGCACAAAACTGAAAATTGATAAGCTAAGAAATAAACAACCCTCTATCAAAGTATCAAATGATTTTTTCCTTTAAATGCCAAAATCCTGATAACTGATTTCTTTCCAAAAATCTGAATAGTGCCCAATAGTAATACATTCAAAGGGGAAAAATATCCAAGTACACTATAATGTGAAATTACTTGTTACAGAAAGTGAATGAGAAAAATGACCTTAAACTGATTCAATGGTGTTTTAAGACAGTCCCACAACCTGGATGACCACAACTATAAAGAATTCATTTCACTTGAACAGAAATGACCTGCTCTACTTAGCAAAAGCAACTTTTGAGATGTTCTGTTTTCCTTATCAACTTGCAGGAAAGGCCACCCATTGATAATAGGTAACATTTATTAAGCATGTTACTTCTCATTTAATACTAAGGACCACCTTGTGAGGTAATTTCTCATTATAGGTTTATCTTACAGATGATGAAACTGAGATATAGAGATGCTAAGAAACTTGTTCATGATCACCCAGTTCCTAGGATATGACTGACAAAACTAATCTATTATTAGGTCACCACCAGCTAAATGGTTAGACATTTACCACTACTGCTTCAGGTGCTATGGTTAGCCTCTAGGAAAACAAGGTGGTGTGGTCCAACAAAGGAAGACAAACATGTAATGCTAAGGACAACACTCTTATGTAAGAATTCCACAAAGGGTCTAAAGTGGGTACAAAAGAGAGGAATGGGTAGGAAGGCAATGAATTGGTTGACCTCTGCAAATAAACTTTAACTAATTGTGTACAGTGAATGCTTCTTTAAGTGAGGAACACACAAAACATATCCCCTGGTCAATATATTTTCTTCTGGAAGTATTGACTTACTACTTTTATCCATGAAAACCAATTAAGGTATGCTAACACTAGTTAAATTTCAGAGTATATAAAACCAACACATATTCATGGTACATATTTATGTATATATACAACATATGCATCAAATCCAGAATATATATTGAATTTACCTGGTTTGGGCAGAAAGATGTACTTTGAACACAAAATGTTTTTGACCTGTCAATTGATCTTAACTATCCCCATCAGTGATAAAAACTACAGTAAAAAACAAAGGAATTTACTTTTCTCTGTGACTCTTCTGAAGTAGCAGAAGAGCGTTTTAAGCTTCTCTGGTTTCCTTGATGAGCGTCCTTCGAATAACCTGAAAAAGACCAAAAATAAAAGAGGGTGAAGGAAGATTTTCAACACCTTAGTGATTCACAAAAAACTAAGTCTATGTTGCTACCACATAATAAAAGAAGTAATTCTTCCAGAAGGCAATTCTGTCATGACAGAGAACTGGAAAACTATTTGGGTTCAAACAGCATCTGGAGAGCACTGACACCAACTAGAACCAGGCTTTTTAAAAGTTGTTCAGTTCAGATGGCACTCTGTAATACCCACATTACTACAATCTATCTTGCTCCAGGGAGAAGGTACCATCTGGTCGTCCAAAGTCAATTAGGCCAGTGAGTTAATGCTCAACCCCTTTCCCAACGGCAAATACTATTTATAATTCATAATATTAGTAGGTAGTAAAATGAAGGAACAAAAATGGTATGAGGAAAAATTTACGTGGTTGTTTGTGTTGAGGGGTGATGATGATGATGACAACAAGCAGCAGGTATGACAAGACATCACAGGAGTGACCAGTTCTTAGGAATTAAATATATTCTTTGCATGGTAACCAAAACAGTGCCTACCCTATGTCATCATGTTTGCAGCAACCTGGACTTGTGTTGCTTAATTTCATTTTCTTTGAAATGACATGGCATTGTTATTGGTAACACATAATACAATATATCCTGAGGAAAGAAAAGCAGGAGCTTTGAAAACATATGACCTGAATAAGTAGTTCAATAAAAGGTTTCAAACACAAAAGCATGCTTTTAGGCACAAGATCTAGCTTTCCAAAGGCATTTAAAAAGTATAAAGAGATCTGTGACTATAAATGATGAGGTATTATTCATCTGCCTCTAGCCATATTCTCTGCTTTTAAAACAAGAAACTCTTCAAGTAAAAGTTCATTTTAATAAGTGCTTGAATAGGTAACATTTTTCATGATTAGAAAAGTAAGCTTATGTAACTATATAGAGGGGAAAAGTTAATTCCATGAGAAAATCCTATTGAGCAACTAAAATGAATTAGAAAAAGGGAAGGAAATGTAGATTTCAAATGATACTGTTTTCAGTGATCTGAAATTCTGTATTCATGATCAATTTCTGAGAAAACAATTTATGTGAATACTTATTTCCTGAAAAGAATACTAATGTCAGAATGTATTTTAACCAGATGTAAAATCTAAATAGATTCTTTCGGATAATTACTTTTGAAAATTTTGCTCATCTAAAATAATTTTGTTTTTCTAAAATGTTTATTACAAACACTTTTAAAATCCAGCTGCCTGTTGAAAGAAATGTTCTTTGAAAATACAGGTTTCACCTGATTTCTTCTGCAAAATATCAACCAGAACAGAGTCTGCTTACATCAAAATGACAGTCAAAATGAGCAACCAGTTGGCAGTTTAGTTAAACATCCTGTATCAAATAAATATGGTTTATTAAATGAATACCTTGGGATCCACTGCAAAATCCCTTTCTAGGTTTACTACTTAGTAGAGGGAAGCAGTATGAATATAAAGGCAGCCATCACCTTTTCTTAGAGAGAACTGATGCAATAAAAAATTCAATTATAGGGAAAAAAGTTCCTCTTCAATAAAACTGTTGCTCCATGGTGAGGAGAAAATAGCTATTGCCCTTAAGAAATGACTTCTTGAAACATAAAAAGTTACCCCCTAGAAATGACAGTCTCTTCAACAGATGGTGCTGGCAAAACTGGACAGCTACATGTAAGAGAATGAAACTGGATCAATGTCTAACCCCATACACAAAAGTAAATTCGAAATGGATCAAAGACCTGAATGTAAGTCATGAAACCATAAAACTCTTAGAAAAAAACACTGGCAAAAATCTCTTGGACATAAACATGAGCGACTTCTTCATGAACATATCTTCCAGGGCAACAGAAACAAAAACAAAAATGAACAAGTGGGACTGCATCAAGCTGAAAAGCTTCTGTACAGCAAAGGACACCATCAACAGAACAAAAAGGTACCCTACAGTATTGGAGAATATATTCATAAATGACAGATCCAATAAAGGCTTGACATCCAAAATATATAAAGAGTTCACGCACCTTAACAAACAAAAAGCAAATAATCCAATTAAAAAATGGGCAGAGGAGCTGAACAGACAGTTCTCTGAAGAAGAAATTCAGATGGCCAACAGACACATGAGAAGATGCTCCATATGGCTAGTCATCAGAGAAATGCAAATTAAAACCACAATGAGATATCACCTCACACCAGTAAGGATTGCCACCATCCAAAAGACAAACGACGACAAATGTTGGCGAGGTTGTGGAGAAAGGGAAACCCTCCCACACTGCTGGTTGGAATGCAAACTAGTTCAACCATTGTGGAAAGCAGTATGGAGGTTCCTCAAAATGCTCAAAATAGAAATACCATTTGACCCAGGAATTCCACTTCTAGGAAGTTACCCTAAGAATGCAGCAGCCCAGTTTGAAAAAGACAGATGCACCCCTAT